AAAGTTGAGATTGTTGTGATTGTTGGTTTAATAATTGAGCACCTTTACTTTTTCCAATTATGTCCATAGTTCTTTTTGTTTTATATTAAAAGTGGAGGACAAATATGACATTTCCTTATAAAGTAACTTTATAACGATCAATTCATAAATTATAATCTCAACAACCAAACAATGTAATTTCAAAATGCATCTATTGTATCAATGCAAGCATTTATATCATAGTGATTCATAAAAATACAACGATTTAACATACGCAACTTCCAAACGGCCCCTAAATAAAAGTTCACACGATCATGGGTGGAGCCACATTATATTGGTAAGGAAAATTTGGAAGTTCGTATGCACTAATGAGTAATGATTAGATTTTTTTTTGACCTTACAACCCATGAATTTTACACAAGATAGAATGAATTCATTTGGGGAGTTCAGATGCAAGATTGTAGTGAGGAATTTGTGAGGGATTTTAAAACAATCTCTCATTTTGTATAATTTTAAAATAATATTGCTTTTGGAAAGATGAGAGATTGTGGGCATTTGGGATTTTGAAATACCTCAAATGTGGATTTTTGAAATAGCTTATGGGCATATGCTATTTCTCAATCACTCATTTTTTTTTCCCACTCTTTTTCAAACGTTGCCCTCCATTCGTTCTTTCCTTCTTTCTTCTTCTTCTTCTTCTTCCTTCATCCCTACTGTCGACCCACAGTCTCATTGTTGATCTCCTTCTTTCCTCCCTTCTTCCTTCCATCATGAAGACAAATGTTCATTTACTCAAAGCTCGTTGCATCCATCATCGGCACCTCCCTGGAGGGAGGCGATGGAGGGCGCGACAGGGGGTGGAGGGAGGCGGAGGAGGGTCACAGGACGTGGTGGAGGGAGGCGGAGGAGTGACGCGGGACAGCTGCGGAGGCGGCGGCGGTGGAGGGAGGCGAAGGGCTGCAGAAGGCGACGATGGGGGTGGAGGGAGGAGTCGTCTGCGGAAGAGAGGGAGGAGTTAGGATTTATTTATTTATTTATATGGAAGGACAATGATTGAGTGTTTTAAGTTCTTTCACTTCAAAAATTATCCTTTATTTAATTTTAACCATCGATTTAAAAAAAAGAGTCAGAGAGAACAGATTCAATGGTTACAAATTGGATTGTGACGGTGTCTCGCCCCGTATATTGTTTATTAATTTTATGTCTGCAATTCCATTAAAAAAATTGGTAATAGTATGACGGTGAGGGTAATAGTGGCTTGTCCATTGACACTATTTCGAGTTTTATGACAATCTAGGACTAGTTAGGTTTTGGTGAAAATCAAATTGATGCATTTTTATTCATGCATGCAGAATTAATATTATTTTTTTAGAATTTTATATTGTTTGATTTCTGTGATAATTATTGTAGTATTTAAATAAGTTATATTACTTTTTGGGTGAATGTCACTTTTTCCTTTGATTTTTAATATGAAAAAACAACATACATAAAAAGGTAGGGTCATAGTTGGAACAAAAAAATACAACAATCTCGACCAAACTATCTCAACAATCTCATCCAAAATTTGATATTTAACTATAACTCATTTAGAGTAATAATTTGTGTCACATCAAGCAAACAATGCTTGTATGTTCGTGCAGAAAATTCAAAAAATAATGCATTGTGAGTGTGGATAATGCATGCATTATTAGTTTATAACCATCCCAAGCGAACTATCACCAAAACCAAGCAACCTCTAGAACATTTTAAACTATGTCAATCAACTTCTGTAACTTTTCAATTCATATGTTTAACAAGTCCATATTCTCATTTATTGGAGATTTACTTTCAAAATTGATAATTTTTTATTCATGGTTTACTTATTTATTTTAAAAATAACATATGATTTTATTATTTCAAATTATATAATCTTCCTTTTCAAACATAAAATATATTATTTTTTCCTTCACTATAATAAACTAAATAATTCCGGCCCTCCAGAATAATTCCGGCTCCACCCCTTCTACATTAACTTTAAATAATTATCACATCTATACATAATATTATGGCAATTCAAAAATAATTTGTTGCCACATAACTAGGGGTGAACAAACACACCTGCAAACCGACCCACCCGTCCAACCCTACCCAACCCACCCGTATTTATCGCTAAATCGAAGGTTTTGGGTTGGGTGAGGGTTTTCTTTTGTACAACTCGCCTCTTTCGGGTTGGGTTTAGATTTTGGATTACACAACCCGTAGAACCTTACCCAACCCGTGTTCCAATTATTGGTATGAGTTCGTATCCAAAAAAAATATTTATGTCGTATATAGTCGTACTTATGAGAAAATTAAGATATTTCGTCATGTTTTTCTCTTAAAGTCTCACTAATCTAATGCATTCTTCGACTTAAAGTTTAGACATATATTTAATATAGCTACGATTCACGTATTTTTTTTTTCTTTTGTACAATTGTAAAAGAATATCATATTATGGATGCGTTCATTTGTAACCTTTTAGCCTATTTCAACAAATGTCGTGAAAAAAACTAGACATAAATTGAAGTAAATCAAGTTTTATTAAAGTTCAAACAATACTTGTGAATTTTGATACCTTTCACCTCGATTTATTCGTTTGAATTTTTAATTTATTATAAAATATTTTTATGATGTAGAATAATTATATATTTTTGGGTTGGGTTGGGTTTTTACTTAAAAATATCGCCAACCCGACCCAACCCAATTAGAAACAAACCGTAGGGTTTAGATTTTTTTGGGTGGGTTTGGGTTTAATATTTCCCAAACCGTAGTGCATGGTTCGGGTGATTAAAATGCCTAAACCCGGACCACCCGACCCATGTACACCCCTACACATAAGCGTTTGGAGAATTTACAAGTTGCCATGGTGGATACTTTTTTTACAAATAAAAAAGTTAGTTAATGATCAATTAATGTAGCTATATCTATCTTCTTTTAATATTTTGTTTTTATTTAATGATCATTTATGTAGCTATCTCTATCTTCTTTTAATGTTTTATTTTTTATTCAATAATGTTTTTCAATATATAGGTGTAGCAACAATATACTTATGTTTGTTGGGAGAGTGACATATATTTTAATCCGTTAAAAAATATATTTGATTAAATTTGATCAATTAAATTTTCTTTTATTTTTATTAATTAGAACTTAATATAGGTTATATTTTGATAAAAAATAAAGTTAACACACAAATAAGTAATAATATTTTTTTGAAAATAAAATATAATGAAGGAAGTTTAGAAAATCAACATTTAATAATCAATTGAATTTGAAAAATCAACTATATAATTTTATGTTTTTTTATCAAACACTATCTTTTTCTAATGTTTGTATCTATCAACTAAAACATGTATTAAATAGCAAAATGCTTCAAAAGTTATTTTTTCATTTTGATAGAAACTTAATGAAGGCATAATATAGTACCTGATTGTACAAATGAAGACGATAAAGAAGAACAACTTTTCTTCTCTCTTATAATGCATCCTTCCATATCTCATTTTCTCTTACATTTTTTCATATTTCCCCTTATTTTTCTTAACAGTTTACATATTTCGGTCAAACAAAGGTGTTAATTACACTTACAATTACATTAGACTCTTTATATTTATATATGTATATTATGACATACCTTGAGTAAGAAAATGATATTTAGACCTTGAATTGACTGGAGTTTGGCATATGGTGTTATTCTCAAACCCTTAAAGATTAAAATCTAGGTCTTATATTTATAAATCTCATACCTTAAGATCAATTTAATTATAAACAAAAAACAACGGTCATGATTCGTCAAAATATATGCAACAAATTACATGCACAATCTTAGGGGTTAGGCTCTATGATTTAGATAACTAAGACCTAGGGTTCACTCATCAAGGGTTAGGGTATAGTATCATCCCCACAAATCCGGTTGATTCGTGGTCTATATAGCGTTTTCTAACTTAAGAGTATAATATCATGCTTAGATATTGACAATAGATGTGGCAATACACCAATAAAATGAAGATATTAGTATAAGTAATGGAATTGTATCCCAAAACAAATACCAAAGATAAATAAATTTTAGTAAATGCACATTTGATAAGTTAGAAAATTATACACCAATAGATCATGTTAAGATTAGAACCCTCTACAGTGTATGATTATCTTGGAGTGAGATTCTAAACCAACATCTAAACAACGACCATGAGTTGAGGGTGAGCATAAATTGAACTTCAGGAATTAACAATTGGTACATATTGTATAAGATATTAAATTGAGTGTCTTGATCGACAAATATGATCTTACACTAAGACAGTAAACTTTCAATTGGATGACCAAATTTATCTAATATTGAAGTACCTTTATAAAAAAATTCTAACTAAGTTGTCGTCATCTGAGCAACATCATTGGTTGAGAGTTCGTCCAAACTCGAGATTCATTGAATCACATATATTGTATAAGATAAAAAAAATTGAGCATCGTGGTTGACAAATCATGACATAAGATTCTATATGGGACGTGATATATCTTTGTGGCATGATTTATGATCAGAGAATCGAAGCATCATAAGTGAATGTGCTAAGTATTGAGAATTTTTAATTCATAGACGCACCGCATACTTATGTATAAATACAAATGTAAAAAATTTAGAATATCCAAAATAGTTTAAACATATAGATAATTGATTAATGTAATTGATAAAATAAAATTGACCGGCCAACAGGTCAGGAAAAAAGCTAGTTATTGTATACATGTATTTTATTTTACCCAATTCTAAAAAAAAAAAGTGGGCGCATTCTCACAAATTTGTTACAATTCCACTCGGTTAGAAATTTTTCAAAAGAAGGAGAAAAATAATGATACAGAAATATACATGGCCTAGCGTTGGAAATGGAAATGTTTTCTAAACAAGTTCCTGCTTCCCCGTTTTTTCTGATCAACCAACAGATCGATGTTCATGTTTCTTACATACTCTTCTTACATATATATACTCGATCCACCAGTACTCAAATCTCCCACGCATTCATTCTTTCTTTCCCAATAGATCCAACATGGAAAGGAAACTAATCTGGTCACCTTCTTCACCATGTCTACTTCCTTTCACCTTATGCCTTCTTCTGTGTGCCGCATATTTACAACCGACTCAAGCTGATGCTGCAGCCGGGTCTGAAACTCAGAATTTGCCCTACATCCAGCTTCTGGCTTCCTTCCTCTTGAAGGAATATTGATTTACGCGACCACTTCTTTTTTGTCTCCGATTGCAGGACGAACCCGGCTCCGGCAGGAAACGTTGCCCCGTCCTGTGACGTCAAGCTCACGTCTGGAAAAGACAGAGTAATTAACCATGTGCATGCATGTAATTCTGGAGATTAGAAATGTTTAAGTGAGGATTTAATTTTAGTTCTTTATTGTTTTGTAACAGGCGACGATCGATAATGGAATCATCGAACTAACTTTGACGAATCCAGAAGGCTTTGTCTATGGATTAAAATACCAAGGCGTCGAGAACGTGTTGGAAACGCACGAGCCGGACGATTTTGGAGGGTCGGATTTAGTTTCCTTTGCCTTTGCCTTCGCATTCCAGTATCTTACTATGGAGAAATTCACGATTACACTAATTAACCTAGTAGTATTTCCTTAATTATGATCAAATGCAACAAACCTAGAGAGAGTGACAAAATGTCTCGTAATTTTTCTCGTTAGTTATATGAACCTAATAATCTTAAAATTATCCAAACTTGATCATGTAAAAAAAATTCAGGTATTTTGATGTGTCTTGGGACCACCCAGGAGGAGAAGGAAAGACTGAACAGTAAGTCTGAATTGCCCACTTTTAGTGAAGCATTAGTGAGCCTTTTTTTTTTTTTTTTTTTTTTTGTATTTACTTCCTAATTAACGCAATGAAAGCTTACTATTTGAAGGGTGAAGGGAACGAAGTTCACTGTCATAACTGAGACAGCAGATCAAGTAGAGCTCTCCTTCAGCAGCACATGGAGTTCTTCTTCAAAAGAATTGGTACCGCTCAACGTCGACAAAAGGTTCATCGTACAAAAGGGCGTGTCAGGTTTTTACTGGTACGTGATCGTGGAGAGGCTGAAAGGATGGCCAGATGCAGACATGGATCAACACCGAATGGTTTTCCGGCCAAAAATAAGCATGTAAAAAAATTACCTCTCTCTCTCTCTCTTCTTGATGGCAGCCCAAAAAATCGATCAATATAAGTATAGTCAAATTTTTTTTTTTTTTGTGTAGGTTCAAGTACATGGCCGTATCCGATGACATCCAAAGGATGATGCCGGCGTACAAAGATCGAATGACCGGACAGAAACTGGCGTACCCAGAAGCCGTGCTCTTGACGTCTCCGATTGAGCCCGAATTCAAAGGCGAGGTGGACGACAAGTATCAATACTCTCTGGAGATGAAGGATCACAGGCTCAAGGGCTGGATCTCCGACGACCCCAAAATGGGCTTTTGGGTCATCTCCCCTAGCGAGGAGTACGCCGCGGGCGGGCCCAACAAGCCTGAACTTACCTGTCACTGCGGGCCCATTTGCCTTGCTGTAATTAGCCCTCGTCTTTTTTTTTTTTTTTTTGCACGATTTTTTCACAACGAGAATTTTGGAGTCAGATTAATATATGTGACACGCGCGCGCGCGTTATGGTTGAACAGATGTTTACCAGCATGCACTACGCTGGGCTGGACATGGTCACAGAGTACAGGAACGGAGAGCCATGGAAGAAGGTGTTTGGCCCAGTTATGGTTTACCTGAACTCGATGTCTAGCGATCATGCGGCGCTTTGGAAAGACGCAAAAACACAGGTGCCTAGCTAGTCCTCGTACCTTAATTTTAACCCACGATTTTATGTTATGTCTAGATTCGGTTACATAGCTTCAGTGTCCTGATTTTTTTTTTTGTTGGCAATTCAGATGGAGAAAGAAGTGCAGAACTGGCCCTACAGTTTTGTTGCATCGGCAGACTATCTCCCGGCTGCTAAACGAGGAACTGTGTCAGGCCAATTACTCGTTGATGACAAGTATGAACCTCACTAACTTAAGTTCCCTCGATTTCACCGCGTAAAAAAAAAAAAAAAACACTATATATATATATATATCTATCGTTTGACTGTTTTGCATCAAAATTTAAAAATCAATTGCAGATTCTTAAGTCCGACTCCGAAAGAGGCATGCAAAGCGTACGTGGGTTTGGCATTGCCAGGGACCAAAGATGTCTCATGGCAATTCGATGTCAAGGTTCTTTGAATTTCTCTACTCATATATCTCGACTCTAATGACTAAACATGATATGATTTAGTAATTTCGATGACCAAATGTGACATTTACCTTAGGTACTAATTTCCAAGATGTACGAAACATTTTGTCTGTATTTACATATAAACAAATGCTTAATGTGTGTTTCACGGTTTTTTATTTATTTATATTGTTAGGGTTATCAATTTTGGACACAAACGGATGAAAAAGGAAATTTCGTAATTAAAAATGTGATACCTGGAGAATACAATCTGTATGGCTGGGTCCCAGGTGTTGTTAGCACTTTCAAGCATCCTGAACTTATCACCATTCAACCAGGTGTGCATTTGTTAAAATTCTATATCTAACTAGTGAATGTAACCTTGTAGTTTGTTTGCAACATTATCAACATGGATTTGGCAACTAAAGGGTGCTTAACATTACAGGAAACGAGGTCAAATTAGGTCCAGTTACTTACAAGGCACCTAGAAATGGTCCAACTTTGTGGGAAATCGGCATTCCTGACCGTTCTGCTGACGAGTTCTTCGTCCCAGACCCAAATCCGAAGTACATCAATAGATATTTCATCGGCAAACCAAATGATAAGTCAGTGTTATGTAGAAACAATTTTTAACATCTGCAATCCTTATTCATATTGGGAGCTCATAATTTTTACCTTCTTTTCTTTTGTCAATTACAGGTATAGACAATACGGATTATGGGCTCGATATGCTCAACTCTATCCTAAGAATGATCTTGTTTTTGATATTGGTGTTAGTAATTATAGCAAGGATTGGTTCTTTGCTCATGTTCTGAGGTACACTTGCTCCAGTTTGGATAATCTATCAAGCACTTATTTCAGTTCATGTTTTATCCGCTTATAATTTTTAATGATTTTTAACACATTTCTTGCTATGAATGATTGAATGGTACAAGTGGTTCTAACACATCTAAAAAATTTCAATTATGTTGCAACTTTACAGAGAAGTAAAGCCGGATGATTGTGAAACAACCACATGGCAGATCAATTTTGACCTTCCAGAAGTATGCCCAAATGGAAATTACACTCTCCAATTGGCATTGGCAGCCTCACTAGAAACAAATACATATGTATGACACTTTCCTTCATCAATTTCCACTAGGAATGAAGAAGAATGGTCATTTATGTATAATGCATTCTCTGTCTCTTTTTTCCCCAGGTTTACGTAAACAATTTAAATGCTAAAGCTCCAGCATTTGCTACGGGGAGAGTGGGGAAAGACAATGCAATTGCGAGACATGGAATTCATGGAACTTATTGGTTCTTTAGTGCAGGTCTACCTTCAAATTTATTTGTAAAGGGAAAAAACTCAATCTTCTTACGTCCGGCAAGAGGTGGAACCTCCCCATTCATGGGAGTCATGTATGATTACATTAGGCTTGAAGCACCTCCCACCCAACCATAAAAGTTCCAGTCTTTCATTCCCATTACTTAATTTCTTACAAAAACATATTTAACTCATGATTTCTTGTTTTGCAATACAAGTTTGCAACAATTCAAAATTTTTAAGTAAATAAACAATTGGGATTCTTTGTTTTAGAATTGGTAGATTGATAGTGGATTGGATGATTGTGGTGAGAAAAGTCAAGAATATGATTGTACAAGTGAGGCTGACTGCTATGTAGAGACAACTGATCCTGAGACCAAAACATCAGGCTCTTATTGGAAATAGCATCACCAGCACCTTGGGTATGAGTTGAGAGAATCTGGTAACAAGATGATATTATGTTGTAAGCCATGTGTACTATAAAGCAAGTTTATATTCTTCAACATGGGATAACAGTTTTGTTTCCCTTTTACTTCTTCGGAGTGCATTTTTGTTCTAATAATTTTTTTATGGTTAATAAAAATTAGCATTAAGTTATTGGGTAAATTGCACGTTTGGTCACTGAAATTACAAAAAACGTTCAAGTTTGGTCACTCAAAATATTTAAATCCATTGGTGGTCCTTCAGTTTACTCAAACCGTTCACGTTTGGTCACTCTCCGTCCAACTCCGTTAACTTTGGTTGATGTGGCAGTCAACTCTCAAAGTTGACCGTTAACTTAGTGACGTGGCAACTAAAAAATTATTAAAAATTAAAAAATTAAATTTTTATATTTTCCACCTCATTATTACATTCATTAAAAAAAAAAAAAACCAAATACCCTACCCGACCCAATCCCCCTCTCCAAATCGTCCGCCACATGTAGGTTCGTTTTTGCCTTCTTCCTTCCCAGTTCTCAGACGGCGGCACAAGCTCCATGGCTCTTTCTCGTTTTTACAAGTTCAATAGAACGACTTCGTATTCTGGTGCAACTGCCCATTCTGTTCTTTGCTCCCCATATTATCCACTCAATTAACGGATTCCATTGTTATCTTCTTCCCCATAATAAGCTTTTAATATGAGCTGAATCTGATGCTTCCACAACCATGCTGACAAGATGCAAGGGATTGCTTGATCTGAATGCTCAAGAACAAGCTGCCCAGAACACTAAAGGAAAGGAGAAGCTCGATGAACTTGAAGAACTCTGGAGCTGAGGAAGTTTCGAAGAAGAAGAAGGAAAAACGTTTCGTTTATGTTTCTGTCTTTCATTTTTAGTACGCTGTCGTTTAATGTAGTGGAGGTAGTTTTATGTTAGACAAATGGCGGCTCGCCACGTCAGCTTTACCGTTGTGTAAACAGTAAATCCTGAACTCCTTTAAATACAGAAACCCAGCGATGAGAACAGCTGAGGATTCCCCATTTCTTCTTCCTCCTTTACTTTTTCTTACAAACCTTCCTAAGGAAGTTTTCATGGTATCAGAGCATATATGAGCGGATCTGATAAACAATGTCTGGAGCACAGTCTAGCACTGGTCCGATGAACAACACACCGCCGAATACCCCTCCGATGAACTTTGGCAGCTTTGGTACTAACCAAGGTCAAGGTGGCAACAGCAGCAACAACAATCGAGCAGGAGCAGCTGCTGATTTGAACTTTGGTAACCCCTTCTACATAAACCCTAATGAGAATCTAGCTCAGTCTATCGTTCCCATTGTTCTGGATGGCCCTAACTATCAGACTTGGTCTAAGGCAGTGACCATTGTTCTTAAGACTAAACACAAATTAGGGTTCATAGATGGGTCGATTGTTGCTCCAAATAGGGATGATGATATGTTTCAGATCTGGGATGCTTGCAACACTATTGTCTTGTGTTGGATTACTAATTCACTCGAGAAGGACATAGCTAGAAGTGTCCTGAGCCATGATAATGCAAGAGCACTATGGAATGAGCTTAAAGAGCGATATGGTCAAGCTGATGCCATAAAGCTCACAAACATGGAAGATGAAATTCATGCCACAAAACAGGGTACCCAGACCGTTACTCAGTACTATACTCACATGAAGGGTCTTTGGGAAGAGTATAGCCAGTTTTACCCTATTGTTCCTTGTGGATGTTTGCCTGGAAACCCATTACCCTGTGCTGCAGTTGAAGCTTTTAAGCTGAAACAAAACACTGATTATCTAATCAGGTTCCTGCGTGGTCTGAACCCAGAATATGAGTACATCAGATCACAGCTGCTGATGCAGAAACCATTACCAACAATGGTTCAAGCATTTCATGACTTGCTGTAGCATGAGCAGAAGCTCAAAGCTGATGGGAACAGAAATGGAAGCAAGACTGGACAATCAGTTGCTTTAGCAGCTGGTTCTTCCAATAACTCATCAGCAGGCAACTTTTCTAAGGGGTCGAACAGGAATTTTAATGAAAGGGCTGGCAGTGACAGAAGTGGAGCTGAGACAGGGGAGTTGTTTTGAAACTACTGCAAGAAGACAAACCATGTAATTAAGGATTGTTGGAGGCTGAAAAGGAAGAATCAAAACAAGGAAGGAGGACAATACAACAAGTTCTCTGGAGCAGTTGGTCATGAATCAGATTCAGAAGGGGAAAGGCAGTTACAAGTTGAAGTTGGGAGTCAATCTGGTCCTGCTGCTGGTGGTTTCACTGCTGAAGAGATTCACAGACTGAGAGGGTTGCTTCAATCCTCCAGTTCCAACTCACCAACATCTCCTCAGAGCCCTGCAGTGAACCACAGGTCACACTCAGTGACTAACTATCTGCCGCAATTCCCTAATTATGGAGGTATGTATGTCCTTTCAACCTGTCAGAATCATAGGACTCTTCAACATACATGGATATTTGATACTGGTGCATCAGACCATATTGCTTGTTCTCTTTCTCTGTTTGACAAATATAGACCTGTTTTTGATGTATTTGTCTACCTTCCAAACAAAGCAAAAGTCCCAGTCTCACATGTTGGTTCAGTTAGACTGTCATCACAGTTATTCCTCCACAATGTCCTCTTAGTACCTAGCTTCACTTTCAATCTAGTCTCTATCAGTAAGCTTACACACGACCTACCAATCTCACTCATCTTTCAATCTAATCTCTGTCATGTCCAGGACCTAGTGAACAGCAGGATGATTGGTTTGGCCAAAGAAAGTAGAGGCTTATATCATTTCATTCCAGATGCAACCACACCTTCCCAAGTCACCTCTTTCAATACATCTCAAGTTGCATCTGTTTACAATTTCGAGCCCCAGAAGATTGAATTGTGGCATTGGAGATTAGGCCACCCTAGTAATAGTAGTACTACCCTTTTAAACAAATGTAATCCTTCACTTCCTATAGAGAAAGTCAGACACTGTGAACATTGTCATTTGTCAAGACAGAAGAGATTACCCTTTTCTTTGAGTGAATCTGTTGCATCAGATCTTTTTGTTCTTGTCCATGTTGATATTTGGGGACCATTGGCAATTAATTCACATGATGGTTATTATTATTTCTTAACTGTCGTGGATGATTTTTCTAGAGCAGTTTGGGTATACTTGATGAAACAGAAATCAGAAGCAAGAGATTTGTTAATAGGCTTCTGTAACATGGTTAAAAAACAGTTTGGAAAACCTGTTAAAACCATAAGAAGTGATCAAGGGAAAGAGTTTTACATGTGTGAATTCTACCTAAGTCAGGGCATTGAACATCAGATGTCCTGTACTTATACACCTGAACAAAATGGGAGGGTAGAGCGCAAGCATCAACATATTTTAAATGTTGCTCGCGCATTGAGATTTCATTCAGGTGTTCCTCTTAATTTTTGGAGTGATTGTGTTCTCCATGCTGTCTTTATCATTAACAGACTTCCAACTCCAGTTCTATACAATAAGTCTCCATATGAAATTCTATACCAAAGACCTCCATTTTTAGGCCATTTGAGAGTCTTTGGTTGCTTGGCATATGCTGCCAGCATTACTGCAGGAAGAAATAAGCTTGATCCTAGAGCTAGACAATGCATTTTCCTTGGCATTCCAGCTGGGATAAAGGGCTTTAAGCTCTTTGATCTGAACAAACATGAATTCTTGATATCTAGAGATGTCACATTTTATGAAGACATCTTCCCTTTCAAAACACAAGTTGCAAATCACAATCAGCAGGAGAAAGATGATTCTGCACCCTTGTTTCCATCTCCTTCTATACCTTCACTGCCAACACCTTCTTTTAATGAGTCACCTTCCATTACCTTACCTTCTAATCAGGTTCATGTCAGTAGTCCTCCTGGTAAGGGTCATGTCAGTAGTCCTTCTGGTCAGGGTCATGTCAGTAGTCCTTCCAAAGAGCTTTCCCTTCCTGAAAGCAGTATACCTGATGCATCTCATGATAATATCCATGTGCATGAGACTGATGATTCTGCAGGTATGGAAGAGGAAGAGTTTGAACTTCAACAACCAGAAGAAGATGAAGCAGAACCTGTTAGAAGGAGACCTCAAAGGAACATTGTCTTACCTGCCAGGTTGAAAGACTGTTATCTGGGAATAGTGACCAAGTATCCCATAACAGATGTGGTTGGGTATGAATTGCTTACTGAGAACAGTAAGAACTATGCAGTCAATATGGTAACCATGGTGGAACCAACTTCCTTTGAGGATGCTAATGAAGAAGAGTGTTGGAGGAAGGCTATGCAAGAAGAACTTGCAGCACTTATTGAAAATCAAACATGGGAACTTGTGAAGTTGCCAGCAGGGAAAAAGGCAATAGGATGTAAGTGGGTTTACAAGATTAAGCTGAAGCCAGATGGTAGTGTTGAAAGGTTTAAAGCCAGGTTAGTGGCAAAAGGCTTTACCCAAGTCTATGGGATTGATTTCTTGGACACATTTTCTCCTGTTGCCAAGAACAATTCTTTTAAAACCCTGTTGGCAGTTGCAGCAGCAAAGGACTGGCACTTGCACCAGCTAGATGTCTCCAATGCATTTCTGCATGGAGACTTAGAAGAAGATGTTTATATGCAATTGCCACAGGGGTTTCCTATAGGAAACAATTCACAGGGAATGGTTTGCAAGTTGAAAAAGTCTCTTTATGGTCTGAAGCAGGCCAGCAGACAGTGGTTTGCTAAGTTAACTGGATCATTTCTTAAGAATGGTTTTTCACAATCTTCCTATGACTATTCTATGTTTGTCAAGAGGGTACAGGGAAGAATTGTCATTGTCTTGGTATATGTGGATGATATAATCCTTGCAGGACCTAGGTTAGGTGATTTGGAATCAGTAAAAGGGTTCCTGAAGAGAGATTTCAAACTGAAGGATTTGGGAAGTTTGAAGCACTTCCTAGGACTGGAAGTGACTAGGAACAGAAGTGGGATATCTGTTTCTCAAAGAAAGTACTGCATGGATTTGCTTGCTGAAACAGGATTCTTAGATGCTAAAAGTTGTAAGAGTCCAATTGATTGCAAGGTAAAGCTAAGTGCAGGAGAAGGAAAGTTGTTAGAAGATCC